TGGATGATGTATGCCAACCAAAGAGGGGCTGGAGGAAATCAGAAAATTTAGGAGACCTAACTCTAACCCTGGAGATGAGAAGATTCTTAGGTGTGCTAAAGGAAGATAAGGGGAGAGAACCAGCAGAATTAATTAAAAATAGCTTGGAAGGTCTATTGGAAATAGCTCAAGTGTATAAAATATTCTCAGATGGTACAAGGGACAGCAGAATTTGGTCTATTGGAAATAGCTCAAGCGTATAAAATATTCTCAGATGGTACAATGGACAGCAGAATTTTTAGAGATAGGAATAAGAATTGGGAAAAGACAAACAAGAGAAGGAGTTACTTAGAAAAAATGTAAATGAAAAAATATTAAAAAGCGAAAAAGCAAAGCGGGCTGCTTATATACCGCATGTAAAGGAAAAAATATTAAAAAGCAAAAAAGCAAAGCGTGCTGTATATACCGCCTTATAGTGCTTCAAGCACTCTCTGGGCGGTTTACAAGTTAATTATGCAGGCTACACATTTCCCCCTCCCCCCCAGCAAGCTGGGGACTCATTTTACCGACCTCGGAAGGATGGAAGGCTGAGTCAACCTTGAGCCACTACCTGGGAGTTAACCCCAGGTCGTGAGCACAGTTTTAGCTGCAGTACAGCAGTTTAACCACTGCGCCAGGAGGCTCTCCATTAAGGTGGCCCTCAACGTTGAAAAGCATATATACACCTAACCTCTGGAATTGTAAGGAGACATATCTTATACAGTGGTGTCTTGACTTACGAACACCCTGACTTACGAACAATTTGACTTATAAACAGCTCCGGCTGCACAATTTTGCTTTGACTTATGGCCGGAGCTTTGATCTACGAACAAAAGGCAGGGAAAAGGGGCAGGAAATTCAGTACGAACAAAACAAAGGCAGAGAAAAGGGGCAGGAAATTCAAAAAACATAACCGTTGATGGCAAAGAGGCTGCTTCTTTGTAGCTCTTTCGCCCCAACAGTTAGGGAAAGTGAGGCTCAGCCTTCCAGGCTTCTGGCGCTGCTGCCATTGCTGCCTTCCAAGGCCTCCCTGGGCTTCCCTGCCGCCATGGGAGACCTGCCGCCTTCCTGGGCTTCCCTGCCGCCATGGGAGACCTCACGGGGGTACGCCGCTGATTGCCACCTTCATGCTTTCCTGGGGCGTAGACCAGGCCTACTACCAAGGGAGGACTTCCCCTGGTAGGCCCAGTCTCCCCCCCCCCCGGGAAAGCCTCAAGGCAACGATAGGCGGCAGCAGGGCCCCCCCGGGAGGTCTCCCATGGTGGCAGAGAAGCCCTGGCCTGGCAGCAGTGGCTGGAGTCCGGGAGGCTTCTTGGCAGCAGCTGCGGAGATAAGGTCCTTTTTTAAATCTATTTTTTAAAATCTTTTGCAGGGTGGAATTGGGCTGGTGGGGTTATGTTTCTGTTTATTTTGAGATTTGTTTTGTTTTTTACAGCCCCAGGGGCTTGCAGTGTTTTATTTTTTATTTTTGGGGGTATTTTTTTCTTCGGCCAGAACGGATTAATTGGTTTTCAATGTATTCCTATAGGAAATGGTGCTTTGACCTATGAACATTTTTACTTACGAACACCATTCCAATATGGATTAAGGCACCACTGTATACTGTATTAGAAAAGGGGATTAAATTGAAATAAGGGATCACTAATCAGGGTAAAGGCATAAAATGGCAGTTCTTAAGGTGAGGTAAAACAAATAGTACTTAATTAATATATATTAGATATGATATTGATGTAGACATGACAGAAAATGTGGAGATAGAAATGGCCAAACAATTAGATAAAGAAAATCTATATAAAATACTTTAGATAACATTTGCCATGCATTAGGAATCTATTTAGTTATTATTGGTATGAAATACAAAGTCAGTCGGTTAAATTGCCTCAGAATTATATAGATATGAAACTAGAATTGCTTCTTTTAGGTATTTTACTAGAGGATTTTGAGAACAATGTATACTATGAGAGCTATATTATGATAGTAGCCAATATTGTACACTAAAATATACACATGATTGGTTCAAATGCTTAAAAAAGTATAGATTTTGAAGAGACAACTAAGAAGACACTAAGATTCAAAAACAAATAATTATAAGCAACCCATGTAACATGATGTTTAACAAGCACAAACAGAATGCAGATATACTGAAAAATTAATAAAATGCTAATATAAAAAGGAGCGAGGGCAGAGGAATCGGGAAAGAGCTGATAGGTTCACATGCTTGGACCCGTTATGTTATCTGGAATAAGGCAGAAAGTGGAAAGCCAGGGTTGACACTTGTTCATTTAATTGCTGAAGCCTTAGTAGCCTTGAAGGAGAGCTAGGGAGGGGATCCACCTCATGGACAGGGGTAGTTTCTGTTAGCACTATATTACCTGATTAATCATGTTTTATCTGGTTCCCCACCTATTTTGAAGTGCAATTCATCGGAAGGCGATTTCTCCCCATAGGCAACATCGCAAAGCGATGGCAAAAGCGATTGCTTTTTTGCCATCGCTATGCGGATTCATCGTTAACCGGGGCACTTGTTAAACGAGGCACCACTGTAATTATAAGCAAACCTATGTAACACAATGTTTAACAAGCACTATTGATTAAATCACCAAAACGTGAAAATAGATCATTATAAGCCAACCTATGTAACACAATGTTTAACAAGCACAAATTGAATGTAGATATAGGGAAAAACTAATAAAATGTTATTTAAAAAACTTCATTATCTTGGTTACTGAAAATACTAACATAAACTCTGTTGCAACCAAGAACATTTATGTTTTACTACTACTATATATGTCTCTAACGAGATAGAGATAATATATTCACGTAGGATATAGGTTAGATAGATGCACTGAGATGCAGAAATTACAGGTCCATTCATGTTATACTGGACATGTATAGGAGATGTTAGTACTACCGTTAAATTACTTCAGTAATAATCCATAATTCTCTATCAAGTACACAATCAAACATATTAATTTCAGTTTATTGTTAAATTATAAGATATTAATAAATCTTAATGTGTGCTTGTTACTCCCTAATGAGCAATTTCACAGATGCCAAAAGTTTAAGATTAGTTGCAGATTCACACTATTGCTAGCAAAGGTAAAATGGTCGAAATAAAAAAAAAACCCTCTATTTTTACGAGGACATATTGCTGCCACCACCCAACCCTCTGGACAATAATGCTATAGGGATGTCACCATTATAAGGAAGTTTTATTTATTTTAAGTCCTAAGCATAACATACAGTATATTCAAACAGCTTAATTTTTTTTAAGGAAAATTATTCACGAGTCCTAAAACAAGAAGCAAAGCAAAGTGTGCTGCTTATATACCACCCAATAGCACTTAAAAGCACTTTCTGGGCAATATACAATTTAATTTTGCAGGCTACACATTGCCCCCCTCCCAAAAAAGCTGGCACTCAATTACTCAATTTACCGACCTTAGAAGGACGGAAGGCTGAGTGAACCTCGAACTGGCTACCTGGGATTGAACTTGGGTAATGAGCAGAGGTTTGACTGCAGTACTGAGTAGACATGGTCTAGAGGGGGGGGGGTAAAAATCAGATAAATTAATAAATAATAAATAAGTACTGCAGTTAAATCACTGTGTCACAAGGCTCTATATTCTGTTCAAATGATGTGACAAAAGACAAGAATGAACTGCAGCAAAGAAAATCAGTAAGTCGGTTTGCCATCATAGCTTTAAACTCAGAGAAAACTCAACAAATCTTATTCTTTACCCAGAAGTAAACTCCACTAAGTTCAGAGATGTCAGACAGTTGGAGAACATATTTGGCTTAATGGTTAGGATGTTGAGCTGGGGCACAGGAGATCTAGATTCAGTAACATTACAGGGAAGGTCGGTAACTGGGCAAACTACTCTCTTTCAGCCTGCCCTGCCTCATAAGTTTTTGGCTTGGTGCTTAGAATAAAATGGAAAGAAAGCCAAGTGCACCACCGCGAGTTAAGAAGGAAATTCAATGGCATATACAACCAATGTATTATTTTGTATAGAGGGTATCTAACGTGTGTGGCAAAGATCCAAAGTATGAGACGGACACTAAAGCCTGGGCTCCAGTATGGGGGCAAAGCAGCATTTGGCCTTCCAGGCACTGTAGTGTATGACACACAGGAGGATGTACTGTATGCTCATTCATTTAGCATTGTGACCAGTCCAATGTCTTGCTCTTCTGAGGAAATGGTTAAAGTAATGGCTCTTCAAGCCATCCTTCCAAACTGCTTCTAATAGTTTTAGACTGTACTAACGATGCCTGTCTTGTTCTCTGGCTGTCCTTTACCACGAGCAGAGTCGACATCCAAGACAAATGGGGTGGGTGGGTGAGTGAGTGAGTGAGGGGGAAGACAGAGATGTGCAATCACCCCCGCCAGGAATGGTCCACAGGCAGGAATGATGGGAGTTGCAGTTTACGCACATCTGGAGAACCACAGGTGCTTCTCAACCCTTTAATCCGAAAATATAAGTGTTCCCGCACTTTCTGCCTCCTATGCCATCACGCCTCCATGTAATGTTGCATAAAACCAAATCAGGCAGTTATAAAATACAGGCAAGTTAACAGCAGCTCGAAAGTAAGGCAATAGGCAGAGAAGAAACGGCAGTCCTATTTTGGCACTCTTCTCAGAGTTTCGGGGTGGGGAGGCAAGCTTAGGGGATACAGTATAACCAGGCGTGCTGACCCCCTTCCTGCGTGCCAAGGATGCCACCTCATCCCCTGGAAACCAGATGGGCTGCTTTTTTATTTCCAGGCTCCGAGAGGTTCCCCGAGATTAGCCGAAAGCGTTGCCTGGGGGGGGGAGAGAAGGGCGTCTGCGGAGATGCATGCACTCCCACCCCCTTTGCCCAGCCCTCAGGTGTCGCTCAACATCTTCCCCCCACTAACCCGGCAAGGAAAACCTCCTGCCTTTCAACCACGGAGAGGGGCGGGGCCACGAGGCAGGAGAGGTGACAAGAACGCAAACTCACCCCTCCGCCCCTGCGGCCACCGTAGGGCGTGTTATCTGGCAAGGAGATCCCGGCAGCAAGGCGACGACAATCCCCGCCCGTGGCTTCGTCACGGGGTCGCTCTGTATTCTCGCGAGATTTGTCCAGCGCATCTGCGCATGCGGGAGGAGGCGGGGGAAATCAAAGGAGAGCCCACGTGACAGGGGGAAAGAAAACATGGGTCTTTTCGCACGAGGATGGGTCTGTGCCGGCATCCCGTTGTCCAGGGTGACGACGCGAGGAGGGGGTCCATGGCGGGCTTGGCTGTGCCTCCCTGGCAAGGGCCGAGCGGTCCCGGCGGGGCGGCGCGGGAACAGCACGGACCCCCTCTGGGCAGAGCGTCAAGAACAGCAGCGGCAGTGGCGGCGGGAACAGGAGGAGAAGTTCCGGGAACGCCAGAACAAGACGGTGGCCTCCTACTTGGTGGCCGCGGCCGTGGGCATGGTGGGCCTGTCTTACGCGTCGGTGCCGCTTTATCGCCTGTTCTGCCAGGTGAGAAGATGCTGGACGGGTGGGGCCTCTCAGAGGCTTGGGTTCAAGCCCGAGAAAGTCCCGGGTGACCTTGGACCTGTCACGCCCGCCCGCGCCTCTTAGGTGCTCTTCCTTGGCTGCCTGGGCGGGGTTGCTGTGCAGCCGAAAAAAGGACTTTGGATGAACCTCTTTCAGTTGCTCCAGTTGAAGAGCAGCACTAGTTTGGCTTATCCTTTAACTTTCCCCCCTTGGAGCTGTCAGTTGTCTTCTGCTGAAGAGAGACTGCGCGTTCCTGAAGAAGATGGATGTGTCTTAAATCTGGAGTGTCAGCTCTGAGCATCTCGCCTAGAGTGACATGGCGAGAAGCCTAGATTTGTAACAATATAGCCTCTTCGTGATGCCCTCGCCTTCCCTGATGAACTCAGACCCCTTTTTCTAGGTTATAGTATACAATCTGGAGGAAGATTTAACCCTCATTTGTATAGCCACCCAGAGTGGTACAATATGGCAGATGGGTGGGATATAAATAGAATAAATAAATAAATAGCAAGAGAGGTAACGAGTGGGGGGCGGCTGGTCACAAATAAGGCACTTAAACTTGTGAAAAGCTTTTGGAATAGTCCAGACCTGGACAAAGTGCAGCCCGTGGGCCACATACGGCTCGTGAGCTGCTCCAGCCCGGCCCGCCGGTTGTTGCTCCTGAGCTGGAGCTGCAGCTCCGGTCACCCAGCATGGCAGAAAGCCTGGCGGTGGGCGAGAGGTGCTGCAGGTGCTCATGCTGTCCTTTTTGTGGTGTGGCCTGCCCATCGGGAGTGGACCAGAAGCACAGGATGGACAGCGCCACCACCTTCGCCGCCACTATCATTGCTGCCACCTGCCCACTCCGCGGCTTGGGCGGATGAGAGAGTGCGGGCGCCCGTGCGCCAGCAGGTGCTCCCTCTCGGCCTCCCCTCTGGCCATGATGCACGGGCTCTCTGAGGGCCGGAGGGACATCTGCTGAAGGGGTGAGGCTGCCATGGGGAGCGGGTGGGTGCTGGTGGGCATGCTCAGCCTGTCACTCTGCCTCTGCTCCTTGGCGCTGCTCGTCACAGCCATCTTCACAGACCACTGGTACGAGACCGACCTGTGGCGCCACTGGGAGAGCTGCGAGGAGCGCGCTGACAATGCCTACTCGCTCCTGCTGCCCCACTTGCCCTTACGAGGTGCCTGGCGGCGGCATCAATACACTGGTGGCTCCCCAGCAGGGACCTGCTGCTGCTGGAGGACAGGTGAGCCCTCTTCGGGTGTTGACAGCCAGCAAGTAATATTTCCACCTCGACAACCTGGTAGAAAGAGGTAAGGGGGGAGGCGGGGGGAGTCGCCGGCAGATGGGGGTCTTCTCAGTGCTTCCCACCACCATCCAGTGGACTTCTTTCTGTGCCCAGGAAGTGCCCTCTACCATATAGTTCTCCCCGCTCTTATTCTCAGGATCTCTACACAGACCCCACCGTGATTTCTCCAGTGCATGATTACAGCACTCTCTCCTTCCCGTCCTTCCTTCCTTCTCTTTTTCTTTCTTTCCTTCCTTCCTTCCCTCTCTTTTTCCTTCTTTCTCTTTTCCTTTCTTGCCTTCCTTCTCTTTTCCTTTCTTGCCTTCCTTCTTTCATTCTGTCTCTCTCCTTCCTTCCTTCCTTCCCGGTCCACACCCCACTTCTCCTTTCAAGTTACAGCCACACAATTCTACCTGCCTCCCACCTTCAGAACCAGTGACCTCTCCATGCCCCCACTTTGTGTGCTCCCAGTTTGGACAGTGTTATCGAAGCTACGAACCTGAATTTGAACAAATTCCGGGGGCAGTGGAAGACAGGAGGGCCTGGCGTGCTCTGGTCTATGGGATCACAAAGAGTCAGACACAACTAAACAACAACAAAAAATTGGTTCGGCCCCCAAACACAGTTCAGATTTTTCATGTGGCCCCCTATAGAAATTAATTGCCCACCCCTGGCATAGTCCCTAATCAAAGACTCCTGAGTAAACCTATTCATGGAATTGTATTGATCTGCAAAGAGGCCAGAACCTTTTAGGGATCAGGAGCAGATAGAGGAAAATTGAGTTTTCACAAAATAGAAGTTATGAGGTGGTGTTTCCCAAAGATTGGTATCAGGACTTGGTGCTTTTTAACTTGGTCAGAAATGGCATAGTGTTAGGGTAACAATGAAGTGGCCAAGGTGGTTGACAACACCACGTCATTCAGAATGAGGAACATAAAAAAAGATTGCACAGAACTCTGGCGGGATTTCTCCAAGCTGGGCAAATGGGAAATGAAATGGCAATTCAGCGTGAGCAACCATAAGTGAGACGTGGAATGTAGTGTAGTGAAAGGAATTTAAATAAAGACTCATGAGCAATAAATTTCTGCTATGTCACATTGGTCTATCCATGGAAGGACTGTAGTGGGACTTCTACACTAGTAGCCATGCTCTAAGTCTGTGGATCCCAACCTGGGGTCCCCAGCTGTTCTTGGACTACAACTCCCAAAAATCCTGCCAGCACAGCTAGTGGTGAAGGCCTCTGGAAGTTTTAGTCCAAGAACATCTGAGGACCCAAAATGATGAACTAACTTGTGTGCAGGAAATATTTAGTCCTTGCAATGGCAGTGGTACTCTTGGGGACCTTGGAATCCAGAAGCCATGTGTTTGCTTTCGTTTGCTGGAGTGATGACTGGATACATCAGTCATTGAACATTTATATTTGCAATAAACTTTTTTCTTATACTGGTGACTGTGTTTCTTGAGGAACCCTTGAACATAAATGTATTAGTTCTGTTTTAATGAAACTTCACAATTAAGATGGGAAGATCCTGATGTAATGTATACACTGTATGAGTGAGAGCTGGCAGAGATGTAGAAAGAAAGCGATTTTGAGACCATGGTGGACAACTCAGTTAAAACTTGATGTACAGTGGGTATCCTGGGAAAAAGCAAATTCCATGATGGGGATTACAAAGAAAGAGAGATAAAATACATTTGGTAGTGTTGTAGTACCTGTATATAAATCTCTTGTGAAACCCAATTTGGAGCATTGTATACAAACTAGAAAATGGCAGATAAAACAATCAGAGTGATTAAAGTGATTTTCTAGCAGGCAGAGGCCTTGTTTGGAAACGTTTCAAGAAAAAAATTAAGGAGATTATGACAGAGAACTATAAAATTACATGTGCTGTGGAGAAAATGGTTAGAAAGAAAACTTCCTCCACACTGTATAATCCTAGAATAGAATGTGTGAATGAACCACTTAAGCTGTATGATTGGGTTCTTCCCACAATAGTTCTTCCCACAACACATATATAAAACTGCAATTCATTACCAAAAGCTACAGTACAGATTCATGGTCTGTAGTGCAGGATAAAAGATTTTTTAATTGATAAGACTGATTCTCATTAATTTGTTATTTTTAATCATTTGTTATTTTTAATCATTCTATTTGTTAATTACAGTTAATTTTCTTTTAAGGTTAGTGGATATGGTGGAACAACAAAATTAGAGACTGGCACAGACAAGGTTGAGGCAATGGAACCTGTAAAAGATCATGTCATTAAGGTCACCTTCAATGCAGATGTACACTCAACTCTGAATTGGAATTTCAGGCCTCAGCAGACTGAAATATATGTAAGTAATTCAAAGTTTGGTAGATGAGTATTTATATACTGTAACTTCCAATTTTCATACCATGGGTGGAAGGAGAGAACCAGTTCCACAACCCTTTGCAGTGGTTTCTAACCTTGGGTTCCCAGATGTTCTTGGATTAAAACTCCCAGAAGCCTTCACCACTAGCTGTGCTGGCCAGGATTTCTGGGAGTTGTAGTCCAGGAACATCTGGGGACCCAAGATTGGGAACCACTGCCTTTTAGTACCTATGGAGCTTAGCAAGTCCCCACCCATTGTCTCCCTCCACAGTGGCTGCAGAGAAGAACATGCTGGGCCTTGGGAGGGGGGTGTCCTGAGACTCTTATGAGGACTTTAGTTTTTATGGCCACAGGTGCCAGAATTTTGCATGGGAGAATTCCTAATGGAGTATGGCAGTTATAGTGGGGGGAAAATCTGAAAATCTCATGGCTACTTTTGAGCTCCCAGCTTCCTCTATTAATGAGGGAAACCCAGGGGCTGCAATCAGCTTCTTGCCTCTACTTTTCTGTTCTTTCTTCTCTCACCCTCTGGTCAGATCAGGAGGACAGTTTGGGGCTCTCAGCCAATTTGCTGGTCCAGTGAGTAGACCTGTGGCTGAACCTGAGATGGAGCCTTGGCCTACTGCACCAGGGAAAAGAGGGCTGTCAAATTGTTTCCTGTGCCAGGAGGAAGCCCACAGATTGGGCTTTTCCCATGCACCTACCGAAGCTTCACAGGAACTAACAGGTGAAATAGAAGAGTCTCTGGGGTAAAAACCCAGCAGCAGACCTCCTCACCTTCTGCCCAGATGACTGAAGGCTATGCCCTGCACCCGAAGTTCTGCTCCTAATCAGGGCTGTTGTAACAAAAGAAATGCCAGTTGTCTCCCCAGCCCCCACCTGTCTCTGTCCAGAAGTCTAGAGGGGGCAGAGAGCCTTAAGGTGTGGAAAAGATCCTCTTTCCCCAGTTCCTCCCCATCTTTATAGCTGGTGGAAGACAGGGCCTTGTGACAAGGTGGAGAGCCCTCTTCTCTAGCTTCCATATACCTGCCAAGAAAGAGACAGAGGAGCTGTGTGCATCTTTTCCCACACAACCACTTATGTGCAGAGGGAGGGAGGAGCTGTCAAGAACAGGAGCCAATGACTGCAGAGGAGGGGCCCCACATTCCAAGGTTCTTAAGATCGGAATGGGCTATATGCCCTTCAGCTCACATGTCTCCTACCTTCCCTAACATCTCCAGATGGGAATTGCCCTCAGGGATGATTTCCTCTCAGCTTCACAGGCAGAAGATGGAAAGCCATCTGAGGGTGGGATAGGGGCAGGCTTATCCAGAAAATGGATAGGGGAGCTTCTCCCTTCTCCTCTTGCAGATTGTTTTAGCCTAAAGATTTTGTGCTGCTGCTACAGAAGGCCACCAGAACTCCAGTTTAAAAAACAAAAATTAATTTGAAAGACCCAGACGCTCCAGCCAAGTCTGTTTTGACTTGCCTCAGGGAAAGTTGTTTAAAAAGCCCCCTCTTCTTCAGAATTCCCCTTTCCTAGCATCTACATGGCAGTTATTAGAGTGGGAGATGTCTGCAGTCTCCTGGGGACCCCGTTACTACCAGTATATTAGTAACAGAAGTTACTTCTGTTACTTACAGCCAACAGGTGCCCCTGGATGGATGCTCTGGTCTGATCCTCCGTATATACAGTATAGTGGCTGGAGAAGATGGTCTTAGAAATCAAGGTAGACTCCGCTTATAAGAAAGGATCACAAGGCCCTTTCTACAGTCATTCAGACCTCTACAGGAGCCTCTGTTATGGCAAGAGCAGTGTTCTTCTGGGCCAAGGATGTGTTAAGTAATCTTGCCAAGGGTGACATTAAGCTCAGACAGGGACTGAACAAATTTGTCAAAGCTTCTGCCTTTAAAGTTTCTGCCTTTTCAGCAGATACTAGTCTGGACTCCATTCAATTTCATGCAGGCCACAAGAGGCTGCTATTCTGGTACGTCATCATGTATGACTCAGACACTGGCAGGCGAACTCTGAAGCTGCTGCTTCTGCTGCTGATACCAACCTAATATTTGCAAGCTTCGAGGGCTCTAAATTATTTGCAGAGTTATTGAGAACAAAGACAAAGTGTATTGTGGCTTAAAAAAGGTGTTGCCTTCCATAGCCTGTAGAGATATAAAAGGTGCTAGGCAAGAGTCCTGTTCCTTTTGTACAACAAATCCCAATACAGAGACCACAGACAATCCAGACAGAATCCCCAAAGCAGCTAGAAATCATCTAGTTCCTTCTAGTCCAAATCCCAGGTCAAACAGCAACGGTCTGCATGACAGCAGGCCCCTGCCCATGGGAGGGAGATTGCAGCATTTCCACACATGGTAGGAAGACTCTGCCATCGACAGTGGCTGTTAGGCACAGTCAGGTATATGAGATAAAGTTTGTAAAAGACACTGCTCAAACATTGGCTGTAAGATCCTGCCTATCGAGGTGGGTGCAAGGGACAAGCCATTGAAAGGATGTCCTCCCTCTGTATAAAGGGAGTGTCTTATGGTTCAATATTACTTTTTGTGGCCTTTTCACATAATGCTCTTGTGACTAGTCATGCCAAACAAGAGTACTGGCATGAAAGGCTCTTGGTTTAACTGCTTGCTATACTGTGCACTGTCAGGTCTCGAGCTTATAGAAGCAAAGAAGTTTCAGCAGGCCCTGTCCTTTTACCACTAAGAGTCAGATGTGCAGAGAATTACTTCTGTAGCTTCTCATTCTGAGTGCACCTACATCTCTAGCTCAAATAAATGATGCCAGTGATGCAGGAGAGAATAATATGTACTGTATACTGATTAATTAATTACCCGCTCTCCCACCCACCCCAATTGTTGCGGTTGGTGTATTGTCTTGTTCACGTTTCAAAATATGTTTTGCTTTGTCTGCAGTAGGCTTATTCCCTGTTGCACGGATGAGTTTTCTAATTAGATTGCTGTCAGTGGCTTCAAAAGATTGCCTCTGGGCAAGAAGGCTCAACTTCCCTGGGTTTGCCTCTTTGCTTAGAGAAGATGCACAGCAGCATGGCACTGTGTGGCCGGCATGTCTGCATACATACTCATGCTCCTGACAGAAATAGTAGTCTTTTAGTGCCACTGAGTGGAATGTTATACCAGCACTCTGCAGAGGCTCTCCTTTGCTAGAATTCAGTGCCACATTTGCCCAGGAAGAAAAATCTCCTTTGAAGTTTAGGTAGTTCCTGGTTTAGCAATACTTTGGAGTGGAATATTGGAAACATTTTAACTCAAAATGCCAAAAATGGCTGGAGGATAAGTGGCTTCACGTATCTTGAATTGACTCTTGTTATTTTAAATACAAAGAAATTAAAGCCCATGCATATGGGGGAATAAGGGGAGTCACTATGGAAACTTTTTCTTACAGGTTGTTCCAGGAGAGACTGCATTGGCATTTTACAAAGCAAAGAACCCCACTGATAAACCAGTAATTGGAGTTTCTACCTACAACGTGGTTCCTTTTGAAGCTGGACAGTATTTTAACAAGATACAGGTAAGTGAAGTCTGATGTTTCCAAGAGTGGGAAGTTGTTGTTATACTTCTCTGGTTAACTAAAATTTTCCAATATAGTATAGCAGGCATCTGATTTTTTATTTATCTGTGATGGCAGCAGTGCTTAGGATTAGGCATATCACAAGCACCACCCCCAAGGTTTCCTCATATTGATATAATGTGACTCTTTCCCCTTGACTCAAAAGGAGGGTCCATCCTTTGCTGTTATGGAAGGGGCTTCTTTGGCGGTTTTGTTACATTATCTGTAACAGAGTAAATCAGTGTGGTTGCAGTAGTTCAGAATATTCCATCTTTCCCAAGTGCACACACACAAAAATGCAAGTTTCATTAGTGGCACTTCAGATATGGTGCTACTGCTTCTTTATATACTTTATACTTAGGCAGGCACTATAGTTGCCAGAAGATGAATGACTTAATAGTGGGAAGGTAAATAAATACTTAACAGTTTAGAAAGAATTTTTGTGAAATTGTTTTTCAATTTACTAGCTAGTTAATTATTTTTCAAAATATTGTAATACTTTTTGTAGCCTTTAATATTGTTTGTTTATTGTAGGCCACCTTGGGTCCTTTTGAGGAGAAAAGTGGGATATGAATAAAATAACTAACTAAATAAGGCATGAACTTTGTCTTAACAAAATGCAAATGAAATTATTATAGGGAGCATTTCGGCATAATATCTAACCTATAACTGAAGGCTAGCTTAGAAAGAGACTGTTGTGTAAGTGTTGATGTAGCACTGAACATTTTTAAAAAATCTTCCCTCCAATATGCAGTGCTTTTGTTTTGAAGAACAGCTACTTAATCCCCATGAAGAAGTGGATATGCCTGTATTTTTCTACATTGATCCTGAAATTGTGGAAAACGGAAGGCTAGTGAATTGTAATTTGATCACTCTTTCCTACACCTTTTTCGAAGCAAAAGGAGGATCGGAATTGGCACTCCCAGGTTTTAATTAACAGAACGCCATCTGGACTCTATTAGAAATGTTTGTTCTGTTCAATACTGATGACCTAAAGACTGTGCAAAGCACATTTCTGACCTCAGGAGGAAGATGCTGAAAAACTGAAAAGCAAATGTATGCTTTAGATCAGGGATCTCCAAACTTTTGTCTGTGAGGGCCACACCGGATATTTTCAACATCTTTGAGGGCCGAAGGAACAGGAGGGTGTGCACGCCCCCTCCGCCCACAGCCCCTGCCTGCCAGCCCATGCACAGACTGAAGGGAACACACTGGATAAAATGGCAAGGTGGGCTGGATATGGCTCGCGGGGTGTAGTTTGGAGACCCCTGCTTTAGATATTGCATGCAAGCAGATGTTTGGTTCTTTTGGAAGTGTGATACTTAATATTGGCCTACAGGAACCATGATTGTGAAGATGATTGATAAGCAAATGTGCATAATGAATTATTTTAATAGTTTGTCTTCACAAGTACATCTGTCTAAACAGTGGCCAAAATCTAGCAGTTTTAGGCCAGCATAATGCAAACATTGTGGCTACTGGAAGTGAATTGCTTCAAGGGGTTAAGACAGATATAACATGCTATGTGCTAAGTTGCCTGAGTCTCTGCACAGTTAATATCTATGCTGATTCTTTAAACAGGAAGTTTGACTCAAAGTTAACTGGTTTGGGTTACTCTTGAGGGTATAACTGATAGGAGTTTGGGTAGTGTACATTATGAATTTGGTGGCAGTAGTTATGAAGCACTTTTTAAAAAATTCCTAATGGTTTAGAGAGCTTTGGAGGAAAATAAGTTTTATAAATAGGCGCCCAAATGGGGGGAAAAAAAATGATGTAACTTGTATGGTTACAGGCTTATAAATGTAACACTATGAGATATGTGTTTAGCTGTGTACATTGTATCAGAGGTAATATTGTCTAATAAAGTTTGTGTGGTGTTTTCATGAAAATACAGATTGCATGGTATAATAAAAATATACTGAAATTCAGCTGTTCCGTGCAGCAGACATTTTGACCGTGGTACCTCAGCTCCCAGTTCAGTGAGTAGCCTGAAATCAAGTCAGAAAAAATGGCAGACAGTTCCTGTAAGACATCTGATTTAAAAATCTCATTATTTATTTCCCACCCCACCCCCAGTCCAAGTATTAGTTCAGCAGCACCTAGTAGCTGAAAGTAGATATTCCCCATTAACCTCGCCTGTTAGTGCTTATTAACATAAAGTGATCCAGTGGTATATTGATACTTGAATTCTGTTCTGCTTTTGCTTTCTGTCATTTTAAGCACGATTGCCTTCTTTCAATGTGCCTTTTGTCATTGTTTTTTTCAAATGACAATGTATACTGGGTGGTTAAGAGAATAGACTTTCAGCATCTGTAAAAACTGTTCACAAATAGATATCATTCTGAAGGGTTGATGAACATTGTTGAAGAGCACAACACATTCTGAGTAAATGCAGTTGCCTTGTGCAGTAACATGATGTTTCCAGTTTTAGGAAACTGTATATTTATAAGGAGATGAAGCCTAGTTTTGCTGTAAAAGTTTGGAGTGAGAAAGTGGTAGATCTTTGTACTTAAAATATGATAATCAGTACTAGTAGAGGATTTGGCAGTTTTTCTGCAGATTACATTAATTTCAGACATTCACTCTAAATTTAGTGTCTGAAGCAGACCATAGAGAGCAACTCTCTTACATTAATTTTTTATATAGTCTGAGATAACACAAAAACATTTGGTATGGCTATATAGTTCTGTCTCATAAATTATATATTCTAGGTGTAAAAAAATTATTACTAGGAATCATGCTAGTGGACTAATTGTGTTTTTGCCTGAGGCTTTAGTGTCCTGTATATTTTGTTAGGTATAGGCTTATTCTGTGTGAATAGATTTATTTTACAAGGAATGAATAAAACATGCCTATATAAAAATCCTGAGACTTCATGCATGAACTCTGTTCTTCATTTTTGTTTTTATTTCCTGAAATAGCTTTCTGAATTTTGCTTAGCCCAATCCTGAGCTCTGTGGATAATCTGTGGAGACCAGAATACCTCCTTATTTTGTTTTCTCTGAAAAGTCACGATTTCTGTCAACCATGAACCCAGCAAATCAAACTTTTGCCACTGATTTTCTACAGCAGTTGCTACAGTTTCATGCTAGATCTTAATATGATTCAGGAAAAAAGCTATCTTTGAAGCTCTCATTTTTCTTGAGCTTCTTGTGCTACAAGTTGTAGCTTCCTAGTCTGTTAATTCTTTCATGTATGTGTTGTCAGGGAAATATTAGGGTCATCTTTACTCCAGTTTGTTGGTGGATGCTCAGTCTCCCAGTGACCTAGCATAAACATTGGCACTTGATTTACATTGCAACAGACTACTCGTAATCTTTTTTGGCTTGATCTCTGAATCCTCCAGGAACTACCTTCTCTCTCCTTCTGAAAAGCCTCAGCACTCCATATTTACCTAGTTCCAGCCCCTATGATTTCTTGGATCTAAACCCAACTTATTATAGTTGCAACTGCGCCTTAGTTTTTAAAAACCTCATAGCCACTGCTCTCACAGCAAGTGTGCATTGTTATTTTTGTTAAGTCCATTTCATGGAGCTTTTATTCTATTCCTCTAGTTTTTCCTTTTATTTTGTATGTTTCACTGGTTCTCAGTTTTATACACACTATTATCATCATCTTAGGAGCTCTGGCAGACAGAAAGTTGATGAACAATATTTGAAGTTCAGAAGTATTCAGTGCCCTTATTGTGACTGCTGATTCTTGTGTATTCAGCAATACTGCATCTCTCCAGGCAATATCTTTGTGAGTGACTGAAAACAGTGTTTCTGCACACTGTTGTCAAGGCTCAAAGGCCCCTCTTACACATGTATTCTCAGCATGCATGTTGGATTCATACATGTGGCCAGAGAACCTACCTGATAATATCAGAAATATGGTTCTGAAGAAGCAGTGAGAACACAACAGAAATCTCAGCCGGAAGCTGGGTTACATCAGAGCAAATAAAGAGAATAAGGCATGAGAAGAAGTGTTACACATGAGATGCCAAAGGTTAGTTAAAAACAAATCCAGAGGAGGATAAAATGGAGCTGTATTTGTAATAGAACCATCCATCAACACAGTAATAACTCAGTTTCCCAGATTGTTTAATTAGATTGTACAAAAACATAATAGTTGTAAAATATAATTAAATATTATATACACAGTAGTGAGATTTAACATGTACCCATTTACCATGCTGAAGCATTTATTGAGTGGTTAACTGTAATGACACTTATTACTAAAGTTCAGGTGTGATCTCTAACAAATGCATATTTTACTTGTAATTGGAATGAAGGCACTTACTCCAGTTGCCTTTCTACAGTCTTTGAACCCATCTTTTCAAAGAATGTTATTGCTTAAAGACACCCTGAGTTCCCAAAGACAGGGGAAAGATGCAACAATAACAGAAGAGCAAAGTGACTCCAAAGTACCATAATGGTGGGGCCTTCCACCCCATCTCCCATCTCCACTTAGTAAATGCCATATCAGAGATACTCCAGTAGAATGCAGCCACAACTGGGTGTATTCTTCCACAGGGAACAAATATATTTATAAAAGAGATTCAAATGGTGGCAAGACAGAAGTGGCAAAACCCTCTTATAACCTTGTCAGTGATTCACATTGTGTACTTTTTCCATAGCTTGTGCATGCTTAAGACAACTAGCATATTGATATCTGTTTATGGAAATATGCTATAGTGATTAGCCACCATCAGACCAGGAAAGGTATCTAACTTCTGAATACCTGCATGCATGGGCAGCAGCTAGGTTGGGAGTACATTGAGGAGGAAACACAGCAGGGGTTCAGGAATACGTGGCCCTCTATATATTGCAGCCAAGACCAGAGAGCAACACCACCCCTCATCCTTGAGGCAGAGATCTCTTTTGTAAAGCTGACCACCGGTAAATCTTATAGTCCTAGTTATTACACGACAGCTGATGCTCAAGAGACTTGACCTGGACTTAAGTATCCAGTTGCTGATTCCCAGTCCCTGCTTTTTAAAAACTGTTTCTAGTGAAATTGCATTTCATACCTATGAACGAATTGCTCATCCTGTTCTTCCTGTGCAAAAAGTTTACATTTGTAACTAGATGAAATGGATAAGAAATAAAAGCACCTTGGTTATGGTAGTTGTGATCTGGTTCTTATGCTCCCAAGTAAAATGGTGTTTATTTATTTTAGAAAACATGTCATTTGGTCCAAAGTACGCAGCCACAGAACCATGTACCCTTAGTGATCAATGAAACCTAATATAATGCACTTAAGGTAGGCTATGCAAGAGACACTGACTTAACATGTACTCAGCAGAACAATGTCATTCATCCATATCTTTTGCAAGATATCCTTTTCGCTACAGAAAAATCTTTGTCTTTTTACTAACATATTGGGTGTTGTCAAGACAGTCGTTAATGCTGGTAAAGATAAATTGTCCTCTTAAGACATCTGCTTCTAGCAACTGCTGTGAACATTTGCTTTGAAGAGGTGTGCATCGATTTCTTCATAAATAGGTCTGAAATCAAAGCAAAAATAATCATTAGTTAGTGGTATGAAATATTCTAATGTTTAGTCAACAAAGCTATGGTAGGAACTCTCTGTGTGCTCCATCAAGTCAATTCTGACTAAGGCAAACCTTGTCAGGGTTTTCTAGGTATAGAGTACTCAGGGGTGCTTTGCCATTCCCTTCTTCAGGGGGCATCCTGGGACTGTGCACCTTGCCCAAGGCTACACAGGTGGGGTCTTATCCCTGGAGACACTGTGGGGAATTGAACTCCAAACCTCTGGTCTTCAACCAGATACTTCACTAGAAGCTGGAAATATGGAATGGACAACATAAAACTCCTTTAAGTCCTCCCCCTCCCAATAACTGCTTCTTCGTAGTAGAAAAGAGAGGCTATGCACTACCCCCAGAATCCAAAACAATTTTATGTTACCTCACTTTCTGTAATGGGTCTATATAATTTCATTACGACTAAAGGTACTGTATTTTCAGTTTGTGATGGATTAAAGTGGCATCTCAATTTTTTGGATTCAGTAATGTTTTTGTCCCACCTAACCTTAGCTGCTCAAAACTGCACACCTCTTGTTGCTAATCAATAAAGACTGAAGTTGCATCCGTCTCCTCAGTTGCCTTACTGCTTTCCCATGATTTGGATCCACACTTCTGTAAGTGAAACTTTGTTCATGAAAGATCCTTGCTGGACAAAATGTGGGGGTTGTGATTAGGTGACCATATAAAGTGTAAATTGGTGAAAAACAGAAACAGCTCTTAGGAGGCAATGGAGGGTCAGTGACATGAAAACCATGATAAATTATCTACTGAACTTAAATGTAATAGGACCCACACAATGTCAGACGTCTACTCTCTTTTCCACACACACCCGCATAACCCCAAATCTGTTTCAGAGGGTCTTCAAGCCAGCTGAAAACATAGATGTACATCCAGGCCTTCCCTCCTGTCAACTAATGATTTCTTTTGCTTTGCTATTTATTATTTATTTATTCCTGCACTATTTGTTATTGTTGTATGCTAATGTTTTTATGTTTTTTAATTGTTTTGATATTCTGTAAGCCGCCCAGAGTGGTAGAATATACCAGATGGGCGGGATATAAATTGAATAAATAAATAAATAAATACAGTGGCGCCCCGCATAGTGACGATAATCCGTTCTGGAAAAATCATCGCTATGTGGAATCGTCGCTATACGAAACAAAAAAGCCTATAGGAATGCATCAAAACACGTTTAATGCATTCCTATGGGCAAAAAACTCACCAAAAACGATCGCAAAAAAAACATCGCTATGCAGATTCGTCATTAAACGGGGTGCCCATTATGCGGGGCACCACTATAAATAAACAAACAAACTCATCAAAATAAATGTGGATGGTGTTTGCAGAATGGAGTCTTTTCCACCAGTGATGTCTTCCACTGACAGATGGATGCCAATAGATACAAACCAGTACGTTCTGTACCTGCAACTGGTTGGCGAACATGCACCTTCAGGGAAGCACATTGCGCCACTCCTGCCCAAACTTTATGGTCACCATCACTGACCTAAGCAAGTGTATTCTACCTCTGCTCCAATTTTTAAAAAGCAAGCAATGCCTTAGCCATTCAACAGACTACTTACTCTGATTTATCACTAGGAGCCAAAGGATCAAATTCCATCAGCTCATAATAATTAGGAGGCTGTGAGCTGTTTTTTGAGAAGTCTGGAAGAAAGAAAGACAGGGACCAAATAGACAAACAAACATTTTTAATCAACATTTTAAAACCTTGTTTCTTATGTTATTTAATTAGAAGTGACAAAATATAATTATCCTCACTATCACCTTCTACTGTAACTGTAGGGTAAAAGGTAAAATACACGCAAGGCACAGGTGTGAGGTAGCACCTCTCAGAGCAAGGGAACAGGCAAACGTAGCAAAGACTGAAGGTAAAGGTAAAGGTTCCCCTTGACAATTTTTGTCCAGTTGTGTTCGACTCTAGGGGGCGGTGCTCATCCCCGTTTCCAAGCCATAGAGCCAGCGTTTTGTCCAAAGACAGTTTCCGTTGTCACGTGGCCAGCGCGGCTAGACACGGAACGCACAGACTGAACCCAAACCTAAATGTGAGAACATTTTAATGATTAAACATCAAAGCAAATTTGAACTAGTAAAATGTACCACAGCAATAGAACCAAGCTGAACTGTGGCTGGAAATAAGCTGTAATGCAGAATGTTGCCTTCCGCATTCAGGTATGTGTTGAGCAGGTTCCTATGAAGATCAAGGTGCATGCAGCTTAGAATGGGGCAGCAAGACTACACTGGTAACTCAAGATATCATCCCTGCCTCTTTAAATAAGGACTGTCCACATGTGGACATAAGGATGGGACAGCACCTGTTTTTGTAAAGTCGGACATGCTTATGCCTGAACTATGCAGACAATTCTAACTGCAAATCACTGCAGTTATTTAGACTTACCTGCTGGTGGGGCATCTTTTGAACCATTACTCTGAATGCTCACAGGATGCAAAGGTACTGGATTAAAGTATGTGTTTACCTACGGAAATGAAATGAATTAAGTCAAGTGTTTACTTATGTAAATGAAATTAATTAAGTCAGCTATGCAGGAACACAAGTTTAAAAAAAACCCTCAAAACCCCTACACCACTTCGTTTAGTTTATTGCGCTATTTTCTATAGTAAAAACCAACAACAATCCTATTAAGAGAAATATGGTCAAGGCTTCCATCAATCCAGACTGAAATACAGTAATCCTGATTGCGCTCATTACAGAATCCTCTGTATTCAGCTAGTATTGAGGCAGTGGTTCAGCTGGGCTCTAGAGCTGCATCCACAGCGATAGGGCTGTCTGAAGAGAAAAGCTTCTGCTACACATTGAGTCTCTTCACATGACTAGGGATCCTGGCACAACGGACAGGGAGTATCATGATGGAGAGCCCAGAAGGTCAGAAGCTGTTCACCACACATGAGAGGCATGTGGAAATATCAGGAGGGACAAATGACTGACACATGAAAGGGCCATAGGGAGAGAGGGAGGAACCTGAGGAAGGTACAACCATGGGGGAAATACTTCAGGATCAGGAGCACAGTGACGACAACAGTGAGCAGGGGGGACAAAGAGACCGAACTAGGCACACTGGTGGAGCCTTCGAGGGAAATTAGATTGGATCTGTGCAGACATCCCCTGACATTGGGCCCCATGGATTGTACCAGACTACCTGTTACCCCAGAGGGAGAACCAGCCCATCCCTTTGTAAAAGAAGCACTGGAAACCAAAGTGCCAAGCCTATTGGCTCCATCACGTTAAGCACTGCCCCCTTTGGGTCGCCGGTGCTAGGAGTAGGAGACAAGTCATGGCCCAGGAAGGGTGCATGGAACTACACCCAGGCCTAACCGCGAAGACTGAGAAGGAAGCAGGTGAGATCCCATGGGTGGTCCGTTCCCTGTGTTACTTTGTCAAAGGTCTTTTGGCACCTCCCTCACCCCCTGCAGTAATATTTCCCTACTACTACATTTGCCTCCTTTGCAGTGACAGGCAAAGAATAATTTTTTTCTTTTTGACCCTTTACCAAGCTCTGGGCCTCCCAATTTTAAAATTACAGTATAGCTCTGGAGTTTTTGTTGCTAATACTGCAGCTGCATTTATATTTCTTTAATAGGTTTGTGTCATTTGGTATTTAAGCTGATTTTACCATGAGCTGTCCAGAGATCTTTAGAGAAGACGTGTCAATATTATTATTAATGATATGAGCATTTTTAAAAATCTGAGCATTGTGATCTCTTTCCACCTGTGTGTAGATGGTGCTGTTTTTTGGATACATAAGGATTGGCTCTCAAAGTAACCTCAGCACTCATAGGAGGGCTCTGTCCTTGAGTTAAATGCAGAATAATGCAACCAGATTCTGCCTTGATCTGCAGCCTTATGTGCTTCCCTCACATCTACTCCACAGGGTCCCCAATCTGCTGAGTCAGGCTGGGGGTGCAAGAGGGGAGAGGGAACCCATTTCTTATTCCATCAACTGACACCATTCTGTTGGCAGGATGAGTTATTAGGTGACCATCCATAGCTGCAGTCAAAAGACCAGGATCGTATCCACAGGCAAACTCTGCAGTGTTGGACTGGTCTTGAATAGACCTCAAGGCATTGGAGGAGCTTCACAGTAATCCTGAGAATGAACTGGCCAGATCACCTTCTCCCTGTGCATATTAAGAAAGTCTAGGTGTTTTTTGTTGTTGTTGTTTTTAGAGTAAATGAACCAGGACTGACAAATAGTTTGCTGCTCACATTGACATAAGTTTGGCCACCTCTGAAGCTTTGGCACGTGCTCAGTGGTTCAGCTGAGAACCTAAAAGAAGAAATGAAGGCGTTAGAAGTCCCTGAGAAATCGTAACCGAAATTCCTTATCTCATCTTCAGAGCAGCACAAGACCACCAGATATCTGGAAGCCTCGTGAGCTCCTGGCCTCCGTTTCTATCCATCTCTTTGTCCACATGCTACATACTTGCTTTCCCATAAATTAGTTTACAAAATGAAGGATTAAGGGTTGGATCAGTTAAATCAGTGGTTCTTAACCTTTGTGCATACTTGCTTTCCCATAAATTAGTCTACAAAATGAAGGATTAAGGGCTGGATCAGTTAAATGTCTATTCCGTTATTTGAGAAGTTTCCAAAGAGAGGACGTTTTCTGGCCTCTTCATTGCCATCTATGTAAGTCAACCTTCAGACCCCACCTCAGTGTTTATATTACTTTAAAATTGCTACTTACGAGGACTGTGGAGCATTTGTAGGAAGGAGTTGGCTTAGCTGAGGATAAAGTGGCGGCTGAGCTGGATGGTAGGTTGGAACAGCCACGCTCTGTGTCTGGCAGTCTTCAAAACAGAAATAAAGCAGCAGAGGGAAGGTTGGTATTAGACTCAGAAGAATTTTCCCCCTTGTAAATCTGTGAACTCGGGACCAAAATCTCCCCAGTATGTGAAGTGAGACAACAGAAACTGGGGACACAATGTGAGTGTGGAAGACCATTCCGTTTCCCATAACGTTATACACACTGGTATGTTAAAAACAAACTACCAACAAGATCAGTCCTGTTTTATGGAAGAATGGAGCAACTATACGAACAAACAAACTGATTGCCTGATGGCACATCTGCTTTGGTCCCTAGTGTATTACAAACAGAGGCCTGTGAGGAAACCACAGTAAGAGTTAAGCAAAGTAAGACAAAATCAGAAGAAGTCCTTACACTCATCCCCATATCCCATCTGCACACATTTATTTCCTCAGGAATGTTTATGTATGTTCCCCACGTTTTTAGCCTTTTCCTAAACAGCACTCCAGTCAACTGGGCAATGGTGATACAGGGAAGAGAGACATGTGAATGACACAAGTTCTGCACCTAACTGGGCAGAATGGTATACATGTATTTTAGGGTGACAGAAGCCAGGTATCTGCTGACCTCTGCCCCCTCTATGGTGCTGGCACTAGCTATGGGCCATCTGTGAAGACAAAGAAATTGCCTCAGAATGATGTCCCTGCTTTTCAACCACCGTAAGTACTGCTAATAAGTTGGTCCCTGATAGAGGAGTTCCAGTGCCTGACAGATTGTGCCAATAAGAATGTGGAATGCTGTATTAAGCATTAATATCATTCTTTCAAAAATGGTGTTGTTGATGTGACTAAGTTTTGTTTTAATGTATTTTTAAACTCTGAAACTTGACACGGTGTATGGCCTACGGGCACTTAACCTAAATAAAACTTGAAACTTGAGTATAATCATTTTCCACCTGAAAAACATACGAGAAGACCCAGAACACTGACACAGCTAGGAAGGAAGAGGATGGAAATCTAGGTGGAAGCAAAGCTCTGTTGGGTTACCTATTTGTCAACATGTCTCATGTTTGTCCTTCATAACACAGCTTTTCTGCCCAAGTGCAGAGATTATGAGCGCCACTGAAACTCATTTCCATCCTTCCCACTAGGTCTGTAGTATTCTGTTAAAACATTAAGCCATCTATGTTCTTCACTCACTCTGCTCTGATGACTGAGGAGTCACTGGGTTGGCTCTCCCGGGATTTGGCACAGCAGCAGGAACACTGGTTTCGAGGTCGAGCAAATCACAAGAAGGAGCAGACGGCTGGTTGCCATTGACCTGAAAATTAAGAGGGAGGCCAGAGGTTCTACCCAGTGTCGCCTGTTAACCACACATCAAACATCCACTTTACAATAAGCCGTTTCAACAACAGTGATGCATTGTTGAAGTTGATCAAAGCAACTGTGCTGTATTCCCTCCTCCACCAAGGTCTTTGATTACTTATCCAGTTATGTTGGAACAAGTATTGACACTCTGTCCTCTGCTGAATATTGTATAAGCCTACAATCCTTGCTTAGGAGTTAGTGCCCCACTGGGTACACTGAACGTACCTCGGAGTCACCTGGACTTCAAAGGCACTAACAGTGTATAATAATTCAAGAGACCACCAGAATACAGCAATATCAGGGGGTTTGGGGCCAGTAAAATTGTCTGCTTACCGCTGTGCGTTCATTTTGAATCCTTTGATTCTCCAAGAACCGTACTCTGTTTCGAGCGAACCTGTATAAAACAGTACCATTAGTTCTTTGCTTCTAAGCCACGAATTTGGGGTAAACAAAGGAAGTATTTTGTAACCATTTGCTTTAAACCTCTGATCTTCAAATCTTCAAACATAGTAAATCAAACAAATTTATTTCATTCTATATATTTGGGCTTGATTAAGTTAAATTATGCCTTTTTAGGACATTATTCCATGTTTATGCAGGAGACCTGTCAATTCCCAGTTAACCATACTGTGCAAAATCGGTTGATGTGGTACAGTACAGTTCTGGGCGCTGCTTAAGAAGCGATAAGCCAGAGATGATATAACAAGGGAAAATGAAAAGAAATGAAAAGACTTTAACTACTACAACAAAAATCTGTTTCAAAATAATAGGCATGAGTAGTTGCAACAACCAGCACATCACACCCAGTTCTGCACAGCACAACAGAACTGTTAAGGTAAAGTATAGCACACCTAGAAGACTTGAAAAATGGAGAACAAGAAAGGAGAACATTGCAGAACACTGGGAATTTATAGTGTGCTTTTAAAAAACCAGTATAACACAGATATTCAATACCAGTGCACACAACAGGACAGTCTGAAGCATGAGGGTGGTAGAGGAGCACACAAGCACCAAAGTCTTGCACTACTGGATTGGAATGGAAAGGTCTATGTGACACATTTTTGTGGCAGAGGCAGCCTGCATTCAGTGTGCCTGTCATCTGTGCTGGGCTATCTGGTTAGGAACAAATCCTGCCCAGGCACTGGGGCCTACTTAATATAATCTTATTGTACTACTTCTATTAGTAGTACTTCCTAAAACACTTTCAAAACAGCACTGCAAACATATAAAGAGAGGCTGCCATTATGCAGCATCAAAAACTACACCTTACTCTTTCCTTCAAATTGCAGGGAGGTTCAGTGCATATCCGTAGTTTCCGTGATTTCAATGCTGCTATTTGTGCTTCACATTTGGGATCTTTAAATTAGGAGCCTGGGAAAAGGTTTATTGTTCTAGCTATGGAAGGGAATGCCATGGTGACAGCTAGGTGTCCATTAAAGCCATGGCAGCAAACTACAAACAACTAGGAGAAGCCTCATAATAATGAGCAACTTAGAGTCGCTAAGAGTTGGCATGACAAATGAGGAAAGCAAGTAGAATCTGCTCACCATTTCAATTTGTGACCAAATTTATTTCAACTGATGTAGCTTACACAAAGGTAACCAACCTGAGCAAGCCCACTTCGAAAGTGATTAATCACGGCAAGAAAATGTTTTCAGACATTTTTGGAAAAAAAGGCATGTCAAAATTCACAGTATGAAAATGATGGTGTAGCATTTGACACAAATTCCAGGTCTTACCATTGCTTCCTTAGAGGAAGATGGATTCTGCTATGTTTTTATCTAGGTCTGATTTGAATTTAAGAATTAAAATTCAAACTCTGAGATCTTGTGAGGTTTTATTCCTGCAATATGGAAGCTCTTCCCACATACTAAGTCCTCATGTACACGTGCATTTTTGGCAGCACAACAAAATACAGACACAAATTTAACAGTATTTGATTTTAGTAAAGACTGCCATTTTTTAAAAAAGATTGTTAAATCAAGTTTGAGACTGCCTCCCCATATTGAAAGGGAGGAGGTATCAGAACTTCTGTTACTGAGGTGTGCCTCTCTGAGAAAAACCCTGTCAATGAAGGAAAGACAGGCTTATCATAGAGAATACATTGAAAAAAAATTCTCATTTATCCCTCAGCTGGGCTGTTTCCACCAACTTCAAGAGCAGAACATTTGCCAAAGAGTCTCAGATAGACTTTTCAAGAGAGGCTGATATTTGCGCCTACTGTATATGAACTCCACATATATTTAAAGGTTTCATGCTGCCCAGTGTGCAGAAAATAAACCAGATGTCACCACACAAGGTTTACAATGGATATATGGGATGTCTTCCAATATTCTTTTCCTTCTTGCTGGGGACAAATTAGGAGCAAATTGCAGGCTCCCTGCTCCTTGTTGTGAGGACAATAAAATGGGAGATTCTGCAGTCCCAGAACGTAGGCTCATCTTCAAACACCAGAGAGAGATCCCAAGTTCAGCTACCAGGTATGGGACTGCTTGCTTCAGTTCTTCGCTGCTCTCCTCAGTGAAAAGGTGAGGGCAAGAGAACGAATGCTTCCCTGAGGAAGCACTTCACAGGAAAAGCAACATCTAAGCAGGCCCTTTGTTAGCTCAGTCACTGCTACTTATGGTCAGAGCCTGCATCTACAAGACATGAGATATCAGTTTGGATAGAATATTTTTACCTTTCATGTCCCAGTAATACATTGTTCAGATTTTCATTCACTTGTATCAGTTCAGTAATTACATCTTCATTCTGCACATTTGCTAACAGTTCCATGATTCTCTCCTGCATTATCCTACATGTCTTGTATAGTTTCTGCGGAGGGACAGAAGAAGAAATTGATTCTTAACATATGAATGATATAGTGGATGCTAGAGGCACCTTACATTACACCAGTACACACAAACATAGGTATTTGGAAGACAAGCAATTAGTACATTTAGGTCATTACTTTCCATTAGATCCTTTGCTTTGGGCAGTGGTTCCCAACTTTGGGTCCCCAGATGTTCTTGGACTACAACTCCCAGAAATCCTGGCCAGCACAGCTAGTGATGAGGGCTTCTAGGAGTTTCAGTCCAAGAACATGTGGGCACCCAAGTTTCAGAAACCCTAGATTAGGGTTTTTAAAAGGTTCCATGTTGATAAGCATTTGCTTACAGGAGAATTTTCATTCCGTTTTCCCAATTCCCTCTGATATTTTCTCACCCTAGTTTGCTTGCTGAGTACTCTTGCCCAACCTCTGCTCTTTTACTTCCTCTCAACTCTCTTGTCCACTGATGGTTGCAAGTGGTCATAAGAGTGAGCTTCAGATGCTGAAGAGGGCAGCTAAGAGTTGTAAACGGGGTAGGTTGTAAGGCAAGCAGGGACGAGCATCAAGATATGATGCCTCCATATCTTGCTGAAACGGCGTGAACATTTCCTATGGGCAGACTGGGACTACCCAGGGATGAAAAAAGGAAGTGGCGTCTCCTCCTAGGAACAGGATGAAGTCAGAAACATTGGCGTGAGCATTTCCTATGGACAGACTGGGACTACCCAGGGATGACAGAGATGAAAAAAAAGAAGTGGTGTCTTCTCCTAGGAACAGGATGAAGTCAGAAACATATAACTTGTGCAGCGTTTCTACACAGCACGGAACACTTCTCACATTCCTGGTTGGCCTTCAGAAATCATTATGTATTTTGTTCACTGCACTTAGGCTGAATGTTGTAATTACAGTGTCTGTGTATGTATGTTTTCCTGGGTCTAATGGGCCAGTTTTACTTGGTTGCATTTGTACCATGCCGAGTGACTCAGTGGCTTGGATTATCTGGATGCCACAGCTCTGCTTCCACCTCTGGAATGCCAAGTATGCACAAGATGACAAAACATGTCACGGCATCTCAAACTGTCTTTAAAAAAAAAGGAACCTAATAGACAAAGGAGCTTATTCATCATCTCAGAGTGTGTACCTACTTTTGTACTCTGTTTCCAATAGTGGCCAACTAGCTAGATGCTTCTGAGAGCCGCAGTACAAAAGGTAACTCCTCCAAGCTCTGCTCCATTTAGCTGTCATGACTAACAGGCATACCCTCTAAGATTTTGTATAGCCTCGTTTTAAACCATCAGAAACTGCAGTCATCCTCACACCCTACAGCAGCAATAACATTATGTGCCAAACTGGACTTCCCGTTGCCTGTCCTGAATATCTAGCTGATTCATTTCACTGGGTGGCCCCTGACCTGTTGGATGGGAGAGGGAGAAAAAGTTCTTCCCTGCCATATGTACTTCCAAAAATTGCCACAATAACCCCTGCACCTAACATAATCTTTTCTGAGGCTAAATGATCTGAAACATCAAAGCTGTTTCCAACCTTCTCTAGACATACACCTTTCACATTCTCTGTCTGCCATGGCCATTGGCTGTGTTGGTTGGAGCTTATGGGAGTTGTAGTCCAAGGCATCTCGACTACAGATGTCATCCAGATGCCCTAGCCCATTCCCATAGGGATCTACGTGGTGCTTTTCCTTACCTTGTTTTGTACTCAGACAGGCTGTCTATGAAAAAGCCTGCTGTCATGCTAAGTCACAACTTTCTCTCTCTCTCTCTCTCTCTCCATTTATGAAAAAGCCTGCTGTCATGCTAATTCACAACTTTCTGTGTGTGTGTTCGTGTGTGTGTGTGTGTGTGTGTGTGTACACGCACACGTGCAGATGCATGCATGCATGAGACAGAGAGAGAGAGAGAAAGGGTGTGGGTAGAAATAAAAGCAGGCCAGCCGTGCACGTGCAGACGCATGCACGCATGAAAGAGAGAGAGAGAGAAAGGGTGTGGGTAGAAATAAAAGCAGGCCAGCAGCAGTCATAGGAGAAGGAAAGAAAAGAAACCACCACAAGAATTCCAAATAATGGCTGTGTGGTGGATAGGTAAAGGTAAAGGTTCCCCTTGACATTTAGTCCAGTCGTGTCCGACTCTAGGGGGTGGTGCTCATCCCCGTTTTCCAAGCCATAAAGCCAGCGTTTGTCCGTAGATAGTTTCCGTGGTCTGTTTCCAGCGCGACTGGACATAGAATGCCTTTACCTTCCCACTGTGGTGGTACCTATTTATCTACCTGCATTTTTATATGCTTTCGAACTGCTAGATTGGCGGGAGCTGGGAAAAGCGACGGGCGCTCACTCCATCGCATGGATTCAATCTTATGACTGCTGGTCTTCCAACCTTGCAGCACAGAGGCTTCTGCGGTTTAACCCACAGCGCCACCACATGTGTGGTGGATACATCCATCAAATCCAGCATTTAATCACCAGGAGACACAAGATGCAGAGCATGATGGAGCCAGCTAGCTTTTATTGCTTGCTCAAAACATCTGATAGTCAGCAGTGTTTTTGGGTGTTTAGCCATCATCCCATATCATCACCATTTTCCCTGGCCTTCCAAAAATTGATCCAAGATTTTTAAAACAAAACATGTCTTTACTAGCATCTGCTGTAAGATCTTGTTCCATCATCCTAAGTACTTCAATGGCTCTCCATCTGCCTCAGGGCTAGAAAATGATCTCCAGATCACCTCCAGCCAGAAGCTCAGAGATGCTTACAAAAAGGGCCCCTTCTGTACAGGGAGTAAAATACCTGAAGGTATTTGGCTGCCTGCTCCTCACCTGGCCTGGGTGAATGGGGAAATTCAGCTGTAGATCAGTCCACACCCACACCCCCTGCTTGAACCAGGATCCTCCATCTTTGGAGGGAAGATCACACCCACACACAAATATCTCTCTGTATTATAGATATGGGGGAGGAAATGAGCTTCTCACAAACCTTTTACTAGGGAGGTGGCACGCTTCTCTTTTTAATGATGCTGTTTTTGTTAAGTTGCGAGGTGAGGAGAAAACAATGTACTTACTTATTGGGAATGTTTGAAGTCTGGTAAACAAAGCTCCTCCCTCTGTGGGTTGGTTGCTCCAGAAAAATGTTGCAAATGTCCATAAATTCAGGGAAACTCTCACCTATCACTGAATTCAGTCCCTCCAAGTAGGGAAATATTTATGCAGTAGGACCACAGTATCCAGGCCCCTGACCCAAAGATGCCAGATATCGTGGATAAAGTAAACCTTATATACTGCATAATATTTGCTCAGTTCTGGTCACACTGCTTGGAAACACATATTTCCGGGGGGGGG